GGGGGGGGAGGTGCCCTGGTCCTGCCTCAACGAGATGATGGGACAGACTTAGTAGACTTCCTAGGGGAGGCCTTACCCTCTCCGTGGAGCACATGGAAGGAGGGAAGGGGAGCAGGACGAGATAAGGGAGGGGGAACTGGGATTGGAATGTAAAAAATAAAATTAAAAATTAAAAGAAAAAAAAGAGTTGGCGTGGTCATGGTGTCTCTTCACAGCAATAGAAGCCCTAACTAAGACAGGAGCCAAGGATGACCTTGAACCTCTCATCCTTCAGCCTCCACCCCCCAAGTTCTGGGATCGCAGACATACACCACTGTGCCCAGATCTTGAGGGGCTGGGGATCCACTCGCCAAGCAAGCACCCCAGCATGGAGCCCCCACCCCAAGCCGTACAATCTCAGTTCTCTGTGTGAGACTAACCGGCACTAGAGTCACGACTGACCACTGGCATGTGTAAAAGAAGCCCTGAAGGCCGAGCACCCTGAGCCCATGAGGAAGCCATCCACAGCCCCACACCCAAACTCTGGGCAACAGGAGCCTCCCAGCCCCTGAAGTTGGTGCCTACCTGGGTGAGGGCGGACTCTAGCATGTTACAGAAGATGCTGAACTGCTTGAAGTTCCCGGTCTTGTGAGTCAAATCTTCAATGACTGGGTGGGAAGAAAAGTTCCTCAGGAGATCAGACCCAGCCCAAAGGAAATACGCTCAAGTTCCCCAGTCCTCCCCGGCCCTACCGCCTCTGGCCAGATCAATGGGGCCTACACCCCTGCCTCCCTCCCCCACACTTTAGAGAGCACAGCTGGGCTCAGCCCCTCAGGAGGAGGGGAGGGGAGCCCACCCCGGCAGGCACACTCACAGTTGGCATCAAACTCTCCACGCCACTGGTCAGCCGTCATCCGGTCCTCCACCTCGAGCTCCAGCACCTGCCCTGAAACCACCACCCGCACGGCATGCTCCACACCCCGGAAGAAGTAGTCCACCTGCAGGACAGTTGGCTGGTAGCTGGGCAGGGTCCCTGAAGGGAAAGATAACACAGAGACCTAGAGATGCGCGCCTGGACTGGAGTTACAGACACTTGTGAGCTGCCGTGTGGGTGCTGGGAATTGAACCCAGGTCCTCTGGAAGAGCAGCCAGTGCTCTTAACCTCTGAGCCATCTCTCCAGCCCCTCAACCGTGGTCCTTTTGAGACTGGGCAGAACTTATGGTTCTCCCCACTCAGCCTCCCAAGTGCTGGGATTGCCCCACCCAGCACAGTTCTTTGTGCTTCTTGTGCTGTTGTCCAGTTTAATCCGAACAGCTCTGTGAAGGTGTCAATTTTTAAACCCATCTTTCAGACAAGGAATGAGGCCCAGAACAATTAAGTCATTCTCCTCAGAGGAACGGTGGATCCAGGAACTAACTCTCAGCTCGCCATGGTGGTGCACACCAGTTATCCCATCACTCAAAAGGAGGTAAGAAATACAGCCTTAGTTCGAGGCCACCCTAAGCTGCATAACAAGACCGTAAAACAAAGCTCAACACCACAGAGCTCCCACTCGGGGTTTTGGTGGTGGTGGTGGTTTGCATTCTGGCTGTAGTTTACTTTGATTTGGTTTGGGGACAGAGGTTTTGGGAGCCCACATGCAGCCCATGCTGGCTTGGAATTCAGGTTTCTGGAACGTTTTGGAGGGCTTCATAAAAATCGACAAGACCCTACCAATTATGCTTCCACTTTCAAGTTCTGAAGACTGGAGCATTAACCAATCTCTGTGGTGCCGACTTTTCTAACTTGAAAGGTGCCACTTCCCAGTGCCTGTGTTCCAGG